TAAACATAGAGCTTACCTCTTGAAGCTTTACCAATACCCTTACTTGTTGCACAAGTTACTTATATATCTTCAAGAGATTCTGATTCCTTTTTTGTCCCTAGGTACACCTAGAGCAAGAATCCACAAATACCAATTAATAAAATGCCATCATGCCTAGCTTTCACATAAGGCACACATTTTATCGCTTCTTTTCATTTCTTTGCATTTTTGCCAATCCTATGCCAATACACAAGTCTAGACCTCTTTATAACCGTTGGTGTTCTTTAATTTAATCATCCATTCCCTTACGAATTTCCAACATAAATCATAACATTTTACTTTAAAGGACCGTGAGCCTAAAATTAGGAAATCAATATATTTTTCCATGATTTCTTTTCAAACCATTTCACTTCATGCCTTATCATTTTCATACTTTGAAACACACATATTTTATTAAAATAAAATATGACAACATCTTTCCCTAAACACCCTATATGTCGAATCCTTTAAGGGAATTTCCAAGGATCATTCTCTTTTACAATACATTTTCCTCACTTAATTTAACAACTACACGTACATAAATATATATATATATACCAAGTTCCAATTTAATTTTTGGGAATCTCAAGCTCTTTAAATCCTTCAAGGACGAAACATCAAGGGTATGTTTCAAAGGATTTTCTTTCAAATTTAACATTCTTACTAACTCATCAAATTTCCTCTTATTCAAGCACATTAAACCTTCCCAATACATACAATAAATCTTTGTGCATCATCCCTAATTACCCTATCAAGGCCGAAATCTAGGGTATGTCACCATGGGATTTTTTTTCCAATTTTTTATACATGTTCATATGCTTATTCCACATTCCTATATCCAACACATCATCAATCCATCATCAATTCAAATTTTAAACTAATTTATTTCACACCAACATATGTTCACAATTTCTATGACACAAACCATCAAAATAAAATCATGGAAACAAAGGTTTCTTACCACTAATCAACTTCCCAAAGCCTAGAAAGCAACCTCCAAGCCAAGCTCCATCAAAAACTCACTTTTTCTCCTCCAATGAATAGTAACTCGAAAATGAGAGGAGGAATAACTCTTCACACACTCAACTATAGCTCAAATGGATAGGAGGAATGGATTCATTGAGTGGTTTCCAATCAATTTCATGTGGTGGGTCATTGGATTTGGTGGCATATTCAAGAAGAAATCAAGAAAAGAAATAAAGCCCTAAACCCCCCCTTCCATGATGAACTCCACGGCTTGCAAGAGAGAGAAAGGAGTTTTAGTTGTGTGAATAGTGATTCACTTGAATGACAAAGCTTTATAGCCACATGTGACTTTTTAACAGATGTTTTTCTTTCGCGTATTTTCACTTAAACTGACCCGGAACTAACTCAATGCTACAAACATATTTTTATTTTTCTAAAATCATTTATATTAATTTTTAATTCTTACAAAACAATATTCATAATTCACAGTATGATTTTTGCACCGTTTTTGACGAAATGCACTGTGAATCACTAATTGTACTTCATTTACTTATGAAACTTAAACTTATAAACTTATCATTTTCTTGGGCCTATATTGACTTGCTTGGCATATATTGGACTTTCTTATTCTTATTTCATCAATTATTTGTTTCTGGGCTCTACCGGTTGCTTAAACAGCAGTACAAAATACCCGGTAAAAACACTATTCACGAGATTTTCACGGAAAGTGCCAGACTATACAATTTTTTGTTCTGAACTCATATTTGTCGTCAGAATTATCAAATTATGTTCCTAAAATTATTTTGCTCATTTAAGCTCTACCCGTTAATTCACAAAACTGTAAATTCTTCGGCAGAACGCACTGTTCATAACATAGTCATGATTACAGTCAAAATACTCGAAATCGCTCACTGAATCTAATTATGGCATTTAAATCCTTAAATTAAATCTCTAACTAAGATTTATCAGTTAGGGTCATTATACGATGCCTCAGCACCATCAGCTCCTGTACCTGAAATGGTGATCCCCATAACGCGGGGTGAGATAATATAATTACCTTAGTAAGCTAGGGACCCTTGGAGGGCTCCTCCACCCCTAAGCTCACTTATGGTTTAAACATAGTATAAAAATCCATGCATGCATCAGAATATGTATGACAATGCAATGTGCAATAATGTAATCCTACTGGCTAGAGAATATAACAAGTATGCATTACGCAAGGAAACACCGTCTTGCAACATACCGTATGAGGAAACACCGTCTCATACTATGCATAAGGAAACACCGTCTTATGCCTCACACAAGGAAACACCGTCTTGTGTGGCACACAAACATACATACATATACATGCAACATATAACAATTTATATCCACATACCAAATCAAACTACCACCCTCCCTCGGAGTTTGGTGGAACAAACAGGGGATTAACCCCAAGGACCGAAAGCTTACCTCGCAAGCAAAGTCCTTCAATAAATCTCGAGTCCAAGGGTTCACAACCACGATCACAACCTAGTTCCAAAAATGTGAATACAATTAGCATATCACTAATCTATCACCATCATTAATGCATACATACAATATTGTTCATCTATACAATACTATCCATGTATACGATACTATCCACAAATACGGTATCTCTAATTTTTTCGAATACATTTTCATCGTTAAAATCCTCATCTAAACACTTTTCTCAACATGAGCTAAGCCTCAATCAAGCTCTAACATGCTCAATCAAGCCAAACTTTAAAAATAAAAACCTAAATCAATCTTTCTCAAAACTCACAGAAAACTAGAATTTCTTAACATAGACTTACCTAGAATCACCCAATGAGTGGATTCCCAACCTCAAATGAGATCAAAACGCGTTCTTGGACCTTCAATCAACAAAGAGGCGCCACTTTTCCTTCTATTTTTCTCTCAATACAAGGCTTTTTGATAGATTATGGATTAGGGGTTGTGTTTGTCTCCCAATTCTAAGCAACTTTGCTTTTTACCTCACTTGATTTCATCAAGAAATGGAGAAGTTGGAATTAAAGCTCTCCTTCAATGGCTGCGGGTCGTCCACGCACAGAGAAGAAAGAAAAGGAACGCACGCGGAGAGAAGAAAATGAAGCACTGTTCTAGTGTTTGTTTTCTTAAAAACTTAAGTTATTTTGATTGGGTAAAATCTTATTTATCTACGCACCTGCATTCATTACCAAACTTTGCACACTAATCCAGAATATTTTTATGGTAATATTTATAATTTTACTTTTTACGGTAACTTTATTTACACGTATTTTTACTCCGTAACTATCATTTTAACTCCTTTTTTCATCAAATGTGACTTTTTTTTTCTTTTACTTTTCTTATAATTATTCTTTAATATCATGATTAAAATTATTAATTCATAATTAAATCCAACACTATATGTGAGGGTTATTATATGAGCTGAATACATCTAACGAAAGATTTGGTTCCAAAAAAAAGAAAAAAAAAAGAAAGAAATATTTTCCCAAGAGATAGAGAGAATTGCATTTTCATTTTTCACTTCCTTCAATTATCAATTACTTAAGTATATTTGTTATTTTCACAGCCCAAATGCATTTAATTCTACATAATTAAGTTCTCAACTACACACACAACATGACACAATGGCTTCCACACGTTCTTGATACATTTGAAACTAAAATTCTTCCATCAAATATGTCTTTTTGTAATAATGAAGATAAATCACAAAGTAAAAAAAAAAAGCAAAAAATAGACGAGCTCCACTAACGTAGCAACAAAGCTTCGAAAATGGCATTAATTCCTCGGTGGTCCTTTCTCTGGAAAAGCTGTTATCTTATATGCCAATATAAAGAAAAAATAATAAAGATACTTCTATCCCAACATAAAACATTTAAAAAAAAAACCCGAAAACTATAAACTTCAAAGGATAAAAGACCACGTAGCAGCTTAAAAGGTATAATTACAAACCAGATCAAACTTACATCTGAATTCATAAATTATTAATTAAGGACTACACCTAGTGACTTTCTTGATTAGCATATAGGGGTGTCATCATTGCAGATTAAAAACACAAGAAGTATAAGGTTAGTTTCTTTAGTTGAACTTTCGCTAGTTACATTTTAAATGCAAAAAGTTCCTTATTTTTAGGTGAGATGTCTGTAAATTCTCACAAAAAACAATAACTTAGTCTAACCTTAAAATTAAAAACCATATCTCACCTTAAACTTAAATATATATAAAAAAAAAACAAAACAACAAAATTTTGCCACTTTAGTGAACCAACCCTATATGGAAAGAAGACAGATGATGTCTTTATCACTGCCTGCATTACTTTCCATTAATTAATTAACCAAAGCATGCGGATTGCTTTCTAATCTTAGACAGACAAAAGATTAGGATACTTAAATAATATTTAATAATAATAGATAAACACGGCCATAGACACGTCACATTCCCAATGCCATCTTCCAATTCCAAAGTAGTATACTGCTTGTTCCTTTTTATACCAAAAAAAAATGCTTGTACTGCTTTATAATACTATAGGATCGAAGAGAAGACCAAGTTGGCAAATAGCATGGATTAATGTCCTTTTCAATTTGATTAATGGGCCTGAACTTTTTCATTTTCATCTTTTCGAGAAAACTTATCTAGGACCACTTATACATACTCATTTATGATTAAATCATAAATGAAATTAATAGGAAGATTAGATTTAGAGGTCGGCCTCATGCAATGCTTCACAGACGCATCAATAGCATTATCTCTAGGATAAAATCCTGTAAAGGTAAGAGATCTCCATAAATGAATAAGGACAAAATTGCAGATAGGTTCCACCCCTGAATTGATAAAGCTCGTGTGTTGGACAAACAAGTATGGGCATTTTGGGAGGTGGATGTTTCTAAGAAAGTAGGGATGAAACAATTAATATTAACGTTTCAAAGTTCAAAAAGGTCACTTAAAATAAACCTATGCTTATCAAGAAGAAAACGTTACAGCAATAAAAGCTATCAGCAGAAGAGGATGAAACATATCTTGATGATACTAATTTCAGGGGCTATGAACAGAAATAAACATCATATGACATTATAATATAAACTAAGACAACTGAATTATCCTATAGCCTTAGCTGATTTAAAAAGAAAAAAAAATAAAGATAGTAAGTAATAAACAAAAATGATCAAGAACATGGCCAAATTGATACAGCTTTGTTCCCATCTATCTAAGTTTCTCAACAAATGAAGATTAAGACGACAACCCATTAATAGAAACATGAACATCGACACATCCATCTTCATTTCTGTGAATGTCATTGTTGCTGCTATTTGTGTTGTAAGGGTTGTTAATATCACTATCAAACCCACCACCACCACGTCCACTTCTACCATCATTGCCACCATCATCATCATCATCATCCCCATTGATCTTTTCAGTTTGAGGAACATTTCCATCTTCAGATCTCTTCCTAAAATTGTTCTTGTTATTATGCATCCAAACCTTGAAGACCCCTTTAGAGACTCCAATGTTATTGCAGAATTCCTGGACCAATCCATCATCCCCCTTCTGCATTCTCCAACCCAATTTCTCAGAGAAGCTATGCATCTTCTCCTTCTGATCCTTGCTGAATTTCGTTCTGTACCTCTTCTTCCCACTTGGATTCTCAGGCTTCACCAGTGAAGATGAGTTGAGATTCCTGTGATGCTGTTCATCAGAGGGAGCGGTAAAGGCAGTGCCAAGTGCTAAGAGCATGTGAGGTGCTGAAGTGTGGTATGAAGGTGGCAAATGTGAGAGTGGTGGTGGTGAAGGGCTTGACATGGGGCTTAGACTGTGGCTGGGACTAGAACTAAGGCTCGGACTTGTGCTTTGGCTTATGACACGGTGAGGTAGTGGTAATGGTGGTTGTGGTTGTGGTGGTGCTGTGGCTGAAGGGGAGTAGAAGCAGCTGAGGAAGGTGGGGTTTTTGGAGTGTTCTTGAGGGTCACGGCGGTGGAAGTTGCGGTGGCAACCACATGCTGCACATTTGAGGGAGCGAGGATCAGTGTGGTTGATGGAAGAAGGAGGCATAAACTCTCCACAGCCATCAAGTGCATGGCCACCTATGCTGGCAGCATGGTTCTTGAGGCATTCCTTGTAGGAAACCACCATGGACGGTGGTTGTGGCGGCGGAGCAGTGGTTGTGGGGTGGCGCTTGTGTGTGCCGTTGGTCAAAGATAAAGACTTTGAAGTGTTGTTGTTGGTGGGTTGGGTTGGTGGTGTGGCTTGAGTATCTGCATCTAAGTTTTGGTTATTGTTGGAGGTCAAGTCCATGTCTGTCTCTCCAAGGATGATATAACACGAAGGGGGAGAGAGAGAGAGAGAGAGAGAGTGAAGAGGGGATTAGGGTTTTTGACAAGTTTAAGGCTTTCTTTAAACGATGAATTGTAGGCTTGAAAGGGGAGAGGAAACAAAACAAAACAAAACAGAAAGAAAAGGGAAAACAAGGTAAAGGTTAATAGTTTAGAAGAAAGAGAGTGATGATGATGATGGTTATAATGAGAAGTGATGACAAAATCTGAGGTTTAAATGGGGTTGTGAGGAGATATAGAGGGATACAGCAATACTGTAGGGTCCCAAAATCTCAACCACTAATGATTTGAGCTGAGAACATAAACAAGACAATAAAAAAGAAAAGGAAGAGTTACATAATATTTATAGGGAAAAGAAAAAGAAAAAGAAAATCTAATAGATTTGGAAACGAGTTTACTGGTGGTAAAGGTTAATTAGTGGGATATATTAGAGATCACAGTAATAATTGTTGCAGATATATTTACTCATCATTTTTAAAAAAATTAAATAACATTCTAAATTGCATTATATTTTGAAATAATTAAGATTTGATCTATTGTGGGTAACTCATTTCTGTTTAATATTTTTTTAATGTTGTTTCTTTAAGAATCACATGTGTTAGTTGGGGGCACTAAATTTGTCTGAAAATATTAGGCAAGAATATATTCGTTGAGGTCAGTGATTCACGCCAGAGTCAGTGTCTCCTTCAGCTGAGCCTTAGAGAGGGTACGTACGTGGCTATTGCCCAGGTGGTGCTACCTTGCTGCATAGTACCAAGGAACATCTCAACCCCAGCTGGGCCAGCTCATTACACTGCAAAGTGCAAATGCAGACACATGATTTCTGGTTTTGCTTTCCTTCTCTGATAACATATCACTTTGCTGCTCCTTCCCAACAAAAGCTTACCTCATATATTCAAATGCTCACTCAAAAACCTTTTCTATTGTTTTCAGGGAGATTCCAACCATAGAATATTGGATATTTTGAATTTTGAATTTAATTAAACATAGGTGAAAAAAGGTTTGAAAAATAAAACTATGTTCATTTTTAATGGGATAGGATGAAATTGCACTGATATAATTTATAGTTTTGAAGACCATATTTACTATAGCCTTATTTTTCTGTTACACGTATAATAATAATAATATGGACAAGGAATTACAATATACAAACCTGGAACATATATATCTATACGCAACCTGTAAACAAGAAGTCAAGGACACAGTGAAAACAAAATTGGAAAGAAAAAATTAAAGTATTTCCACTATGTGAAGCAAGGTCATGTGATCTAATTCTCATGGCCAATTGATGGAGCACTAGTGTGTTAGGAACTTGGGACCTCATTCCTTCAACAGTTGGCCATTTTCCTCACTCTTGCGGCCGACAACGTGTGTAGATGAAAGGGATTTGTTTGGAAATGTACCAAATATCAAATTCAGACAAACTATCTTGCAACGCACAGCTTTTGTCATAGCTCTTTTGGGTTACTAAACCTTAAGAAAATTAAGAGCAGGTCTTGCATTTGGTTTGCTTTCAAACTTACTCTTTAATTCCTTAATAAGACTGGATGAGAAGCTTAAATTAATTGGCGTCCATAAGGATTGCTGATGATCAAGATGTTAATGTGGAACTCATTTCTGTGTGTTCTTGTAGAAATGTGATTAGTGTTGGTAATTCAAATGTCACATCGAATAAGAATGGATTATAAAGAAACATAAGTGAAAAAAACTCAAATCTTAAAATTTTCTGTTAATTATAAGGTATTGAGTTTATTTATTGTGGTGTATTATCGCTTTGTTTAACATAATTCTCCAAGTTATGAAGTCTGGCTTCCAGCATCAACTTATGTACTTTCAACTTCCTAATTTCCTCATCTACCGTAGTAAGAAAGCTGATGTTGATGTTGATTCCGAAGTTCTGTTGCTTGACCAACCAAATATAACAGTTCATATTCTACAACATGATAATTGGTTTCTAAGTTCTGACTCTCTAATTCTCTAGCTCCAAAATGTTTCACTTTGCCTTGGTAATTTCACCAACTTTTCAATCAGACTCCTTAATAATTCTCATATTAAACCAATTTTTAATCAAAGATGGAAGGGCATAAAAGAGAAACACAACCGAAGAGTATGATTAATTGCCATATGGGGTTCGATAGTTCAATCATTTCAAAAGCAGGCATGGCCAAAGTAATCCAATTCATAAGCCAAGTTTGTACCTAGATCCAATTCACTGAAGATTTGTTACATCATATACTCTTCTTGAATTGATAAGTCATTGCAGCGTGCCATACTTGTCTCAGGTCTGATTTTGTCATCGTTATTGGATCAAGAAGGGGCATTCATTTAAGAGCCTTTATCCTGAAGATTGGTGACATCTAGACGAAAATCCAATTTATAGCAACAAATCATAGATGGTCCTGTGTGAGGGCCAAACCAGAAATGGTAACAGAACAAATAAAAATAACCATGAAATATTTTCTTGTTACATTTCACTTATGCAGAGGTGACAAATGCAACTGTCAACAAAGACAGTACAGTGGTTGAGTGGTAGGGAGAATTTGACAAATACCAATAAAAGTTGGGTTGTGAAATTGAGAAATCGTGAGTGAAACCAGTTGGGAATGACGCAGAAGAAACACTGGAAGCCTAATTGGAATGTCTAAAACAGTAGAGAGAGAGAGAGACATAAAGTGCATATGGTGGAACCAAGCTTTTTCATGATTACTGAGAAGAAATATTGTTAGCACATGTAAAAAAGCTTGTCAAAACCATTACTACTATTTAATTGATTAGACCATATTATTTAGAGTTTTCGATTTTATTTGACATTATCAAGGAAGAAATGTATTTTTATTTTTTTTGGAGTAAATATCGTTGTGAGGAGAGATATTCTAACTATCAAAATTTTCCACTACTAACTTACTACCTATCTAATCACCATTAGATTAACATTTTCTCTCTCTTCAAAAACTTTTTAATATTCTCTCTTTTTGATCCAATGGTGATGTGATGGGTAGTAAGTTAGTAGTGAGAGTTTTTTGTAGTTAGAATATCCTTACTCGAAATGTATATGTTTAATATAAGAAGGAAAAAATATTTATCCTTTTAAATGACACAATTTATATTCTTTCACTCTCACAAAAAGGTGGAACCCATACCTTTATTTTATTTTTGTCAACTCTCTTTTCTCCTTTATCTATCTCTTTCTCTCTATTAAAATGACACAATTTTACATCTTTTAAAATGACACACATTTTTTCCATATAAGAAAAGATGCAACATGAATTTGCCATTGCCTAGCCTATGTGGATTTTACAAATAATTTTGGGGGGTGTTTGGTAAGGGGTTTTGACAATGATACCTAGGCAACTTGAAATGGGTTTTTAATTTGCCTAAGTTTGGTACAAGAATTACAAAAATTTGGGTAGCAAAATTCTTTTCCCAGCCAACTTGATTTCTTTGCAAAATTTCTTGTTTTGCACGGTTCCAAAAAACCATTTTGAGGGTCGTATTTTGGGGGTTTGCTGGCAAAGTAAAAATTAAGTACGTATTTTGAGTTTCAAGAAAGTAAAATTTGTTGAAACCATGACACCAATTAAGCTGGCTTTTACAAACTGTCATTTTGGGCAAGGGTTGATCAGATTCAAAAAATAAAAAATGGTTAATTTTGTAATTTCAATCGATTTTTCCATCTATATTTTAGCTTCAACCAAACATGGAATTCGAAAATTTAAATCAATTTTCCTAGTAATATTTTGATCTACCAAACAACTTTTTTAAAATTTCCCCACTAATTTTAGTTTACAACCATTTCTCCACTATTTATATTTACTTGGTTAAAAAAAAATTCTCTTATACCAAACGCTCACTCGTAGACTTGTAGTAATCTATACATTTGATTATCAATCATTATCCACTTGCAATTTATTGTATAAAAATGAAATCCAAGATAAACTTTATTCCCCTTCTTTATGTTAATATAATCATTTTATCTTCTTCCTACAAACCCATTATTCTTTTACTTTTCAAAGTTAAAATTGATTAACTGTCAAAAAATATATATTCAAATTTGTACAATAACAGTATAATCAAAAGGATTGAGGGAAATAAGTTTTGACTTGGGATTATTTTATTTTTTTTAAGAATCTAATATTCTTCAAAAGGAGAATTTTTTTCAAGATAGTCGAGAATACCAATACCCCGCAATAAATAATAAATGAATGAATTAGACATCAAGGAGATCCTTGTTAGTTTTCCAACTAATTATTACCATTAACTTTAAGATTACAAAGAAGCAAAACTTTTATCATGGCAAATTGACATCCTTTCTTGGTTCACGCATGATTTTGGACAAATATGAACTACTGCTTATTAAAGTAAGGTTCATCATAAACTAAATTACAAAATCAGAACCAACTATCATTAATTGATCCAAGAAACTTGTTTTTTGATTAGAGGTTTTAAATTTGAGTCCTGAAAATAGAAAGAATAATATTGAAAGAGTTATCCAATATCAATCCACGGTACTCGAATTCAATTAAATCGAATTGAATACAAAATTATAATTTCAGAAATTTTGATCAGGGGCCACCCTCCCTGTAAAGCAAGCAATTTTGGTCTTTCTCCACGTGTTGTAAAACTATTGCGATGTAATCAGGCCACACGCCATGCACAAACTGTAGTGCTTTCAACGGATTCCTTCTCTGTATCATTTTCTTTTGTTGTTCCAAACATATAAAGGAAATGTGTCTCTCATGATAATTTTGTTTGATATATACATAAAAATGGATGAAATTCATTTTTTATTTATTTATCTTCTTTTTAGTAAGCTTTATTTATCTTTTTTTTATGTTGCATTAGATAATTTTGTCTAGTGCAATATGAGAAACACATTTTTTAGTATATAGTATTTAAATCTCATTAGCTAATAAGCATGATTTAATTGTACAAAAAAAAAAAATGCATGATTTAGATAATAAAAAGAATATTTGCTGAAATATTTGTAATATAATTATCAAATTTATATTAGCATGTTTTGGTTTCTTTTTTTGCCCTCTTTTTTAAGACTCAAGACCCATTTTATGAAAGGACAAATCTGGCTATTCTCTCAACATATTCCAAAGTCTCATAAACTGA